GGCCAACCCCCATGGGACCGACCCCCGCACCACCGGGAGGCGACGTACCCGACATACCCTGCATACCTCGCAGGGTCTCCGTGAAGGAGCCGTCGCACATGTTGCCGCCGGCTCTGTAATTAAACGCAGCCACCAATTAGTAACCCCAACGGCTACGTTAATGGAGGGACACGCCTACGTGAAAACAGCCTGGACGACCTCGAGTCCGACTGACCGAGGAGACCCCCAGGCCCTCCACGGACCTATTGTTTTCGACACTGGACAACGCGACGAACCTCGACCCTTCCATGATTTACGATCTACGCGACGTTATCTCGGTTATTTAGATCATTCGTGTTTCTGTCTGTACCGTAGGCTTCTAGAGCAGGCTTGTAACTTTTATTTTTGGTTTGGGAAAACTTTGGGTAAACTTAGTAGGTTTGGAGATTGTGATCAGGGACCTTCGGAGAGAAGTATAGTTTACAAGAAGCTATTTGATGTTTGATGTAGGTATAGCTAACAACTTAAGCACAAACGAAGTCAAATTAATTCGTGTCGCACTGAATGACACTAAATTGAATCGTGAGGTAATTGAATCTCGTGTGAATTAAAACTCGCAGGAATTAAATTACGCCGAATAAGATAAAATTAAATTGTATCACATTTAGTTGTAGGAAAAGTGAATTGGATCGCGTCGAACCTAATAGCTCCAGATTGAATTAAGTGAAATTAAGTTGCGAGAGAATTACTCCGAATTGAATATTACGAAACTGACCCGTTTTGAATCGGATGAAATGGAATCAGATTGAATGAAATCGCGTGAAACTGAATCGTAAAAGTCCAACTTTCTCAGAATTAAGTAATAGTGGTCTATGAAGAAACATAGTGGATAAAACATCTGATTACGACACAAATTCCAATTACAACGTGATAATTTTCTGCTAGGCTAATCAAGAATAAAGTCCCATCAGCTTCATCATTAGTTTCAACTCTATCAATTTTCAAATGTACAATTTGATGCTTGTCACGTTGTATTATTACTGGTAACACGTTCAGGACAAGTTTTCTCGTGGACACGAACAAATTACCGAGTCCTAAATTGTAAAGAGTATGAAAAAGTCGAACGCCGTCGCGAGGAGGACGAAAAGATCTGCGGACCGAGCGATTCACCTGACGATTCTTTTTTCTCGGCCACAAAAGGCGCGAATCTTGAGCGTCAAAAGCTACCAGAACGAGATTAAAGTCGTCAAGAAAGTGCTGAATAATCTTCTAAATTGAGGGACGCGGTTGCTTCAATCGTCATTGCGCTCGTTCGGGTGCAACAAGTTCCTCTGCCGAACGTACAAACGTCGCTCTTTCAAAATTAATTTATTAAAAAGAGACCTTCAATTACTTCGTTTTGACAGAGCTGCAAGTAAATCAGAATAGTGAATACGCTGAATAGTAGCTTTTTGAGAGCAAAAAGATTCATACGAATGTATTAAACAATTTAATATTCTTCCATCTTTGACTCTAAGTGGATAGAAATAAATAAAAAGAAAAATTAACGCAAATTAGTAGTAATAGTATTTTGCCACGGAGGGAATTGTCGCAATGGAAGACTTTTGTGATTTGACAATATATTAAATTGGACAATCAATTTTTGTTTTTAATACGACAGTAGTTTTCGTGTTAACATTATATAAGTGCCACGGCGATAATACAGCGAGTGCAATATATTCACAATAGATGGCAAAAATTTTATGTAGAAATAAAAGTTTGAAACATGAAAAAATCGATCCGATATTTATCTTGACAATAAAAGCAGTGGGATGAGAAAATATCAAAAGTAAAAATTGTTAGAAATTCTGTAGCGCAACATAAAATATTTTGAACAGGAATTTTTCAAAGTATCTCGAAATTAAAGTCGAAAGCCCATACGACCCTATGGCATGCCATGGGGTTCTCGTGGCTTTTTTAATTGTGCAGCAGCGACACGTGGAAGAACCGAGCGAGGGTACTCGTGGCAGCCACTCGTCACGGTCCCGGTAATTGCTTATTCGTTTGCTCTTTGATTCATAAGCAAATTAATCTTATCCTTTCCTCGTATCAAAGCCATTAACCAATCTCGGCGCGTTGCTGCCTCCGTTACGCTCTCTGCTCCGTCTTTTTTAACCCCTAAATGTCACCCTTCGGTTCACGGACCTCACCCTCTGGCCTCCTCTCTCCGACTAACACAATTACACTGGATCTCCTTGAGCATTCATTAAGAAAGTAAGAGGAAAAAAGAAAGAGAATAACAGAGAGGGAAAATCTGTAGTGGTTGAGGGAGTTAACCCCGGGGGCGGTAGTTACGATTTCGCGGGGTTAGAATCACCCTCGGTCCGGGCCACCCTCGAGTGTCATTCAGGCCGGATTAATAGATACGTTGGTTAGAGACGTTAGAGTCGTGAAGGGATGCGAGAGACGTGGTCGCTTTAGAGAGGCCCCAAGGGTGCTCGGGGGTGGTTCAACGAAGATGCTGGAAGTAATGGCTGTTGACAACCAGCGACGGGGGATTAGGAAGTGCTAATTGAATGTTTAGGCTACGGACTCGAATACCGCACGCGGCAATTTATTGCTCCTTATTCGCGAATCTCCCAGCAGCACAAAAGCCACCCTCGAGGATTCTCCGACGATCGGGAACCGTGCAAAAGTCGATTTACATTTTAATAGAAATTTTTCGACGATCCAATACGTCTGATCGTGATTTGCTTGAGAAGGTCAGTGACGGGAAACGACCCCTGTACATATTTATACAAGTGAACTCGAAGGTTCAAGCAGAACGGTTTATCTTGCGATTCAGAAGTGTAGCGCTTCTTGGAGCAACTGGGTCACCGTCGCCGTCGATAAACACTTATCCAACTGTGTTTACATCTTCGGTATTCGATTAGTCTGTCGAGATTTTGTCGATAGTGTTCGATCGAGTTACGTAATTCGATTTCATATTACGTTGTATTAAGCAAATTTATATTTCAAATTGTTAGAATTCCAGAATTCATGCTAATAGATTTCAAAGGAAAATAAACCTGAGACTTAGGATCTAACTCTCTAACGACAGGCGAGTCAGTTGTAACTATTCACATACTACAATTAGATACTCAAATATTAGCTACACAAATTTCGAGAGACTATTTGAAGAGCACCAAAGTTTAACATTTGAATTGCAAATCATCCTCCAATGAATAGATCCTAACGATACAAACTCTATCTTAACCTTGGAACATTCCAAACTGTGGTGTCCAGATCATGTACTCAAATGTTTATCGATACAACAGATGATTCTTCTCTCGTTCAAACGTAAAATCACCAAAAACGTAACCACGAAGAACGGAGAACCATGCGACTTGTCCGCACGGTTCGAATATTTTCAACATCCGCGTACAACTCACCTCATGAAGTGGCCGGCGGCTCGTTGGTGCAAGTCCAGCTCAATTTTGCTGCCGTGGTTGAGACTTCCGTCTCCGCTGGTTCCCGCTAAAGGTGGTCAGCGAATCGCTGCTAAACAACAGGCGCAACGTAAAACAACAACAACCAGCAAGTCACTGCACTGTCATATCAGACGATCCACTCTCGAGTCCTCGATCACTGTGCTTCTCACTTTTCCTGGCTGACGATCAGGCGTGCGTGTCGCGATCCGGGTCACGATCCAACCGCGGCATCCTTTACCGAAAATGTCAGTGGCGAACTTATCACGTTGAGAAACGGACTTTTGAACGTCACACGAGGACGATCGCGCGACGTGAACGGCGTTCGATGTGCCTTCGCGGACGATAGTTTGGGGAGTGTGCACGCACGACCCGACGCCTGGTGTCGATCCCCGACGATCGGGAACCGTGCAAAAGTCGATTTACATTTTAATAGAAATTTTTCGACGATCCAATACGTCTGATCGTGATTTGCTTGAGAAGGTCAGTGACGGGAAACGACCCCTGTACATATTTATACAAGTGAACTCGAAGGTTCAAGCAGAACGGTTTATCTTGCGATTCAGAAGTGTAGCGCTTCTTGGAGCAACTGGGTCACCGTCGCCGTCGATAAACACTTATCCAACTGTGTTTACATCTTCGGTATTCGATTAGTCTGTCGAGATTTTGTCGATAGTGTTCGATCGAGTTACGTAATTCGATTTCATATTACGTTGTATTAAGCAAATTTATATTTCAAATTGTTAGAATTCCAGAATTCATGCTAATAGATTTCAAAGGAAAATAAACCTGAGACTTAGGATCTAACTCTCTAACGACAGGCGAGTCAGTTGTAACTATTCACATACTACAATTAGATACTCAAATATTAGCTACACAAATTTCGAGAGACTATTTGAAGAGCACCAAAGTTTAACATTTGAATTGCAAATCATCCTCCAATGAATAGATCCTAACGATACAAACTCTATCTTAACCTTGGAACATTCCAAACTGTGGTGTCCAGATCATGTACTCAAATGTTTATCGATACAACAGATGATTCTTCTCTCGTTCAAACGTAAAATCACCAAAAACGTAACCACGAAGAACGGAGAACCATGCGACTTGTCCGCACGGTTCGAATATTTTCAACATCCGCGTACAACTCACCTCATGAAGTGGCCGGCGGCTCGTTGGTGCAAGTCCAGCTCAATTTTGCTGCCGTGGTTGAGACTTCCGTCTCCGCTGGTTCCCGCTAAAGGTGGTCAGCGAATCGCTGCTAAACAACAGGCGCAACGTAAAACAACAACAACCAGCAAGTCACTGCACTGTCATATCAGACGATCCACTCTCGAGTCCTCGATCACTGTGCTTCTCACTTTTCCTGGCTGACGATCAGGCGTGCGTGTCGCGATCCGGGTCACGATCCAACCGCGGCATCCTTTACCGAAAATGTCAGTGGCGAACTTATCACGTTGAGAAACGGACTTTTGAACGTCACACGAGGACGATCGCGCGACGTGAACGGCGTTCGATGTGCCTTCGCGGACGATAGTTTGGGGAGTGTGCACGCACGACCCGACGCCTGGTGTCGATCCACGGAGTCCTCGGGTTCTCCGAACCCCACCACGGCACTTGAAACGGGTGAAGGACTGCTCATCCAATGGCGGAGCGCGATGGGCGGACCCTTCGAAGTAAACGCGGTATCGCTGGCTGATCCGATTGGCTACCGACTCGAGACCGTCGATAACGAAGCCGACCTGTATTTCCTGAATCCCCTCTTCGCGTGCACCGCGTCTCCCTACGTATCTACCTGGATTTTCCCTACACGGTTAACCCTACCGGGTTTTCCTCGTTTCGCGAACTGGCGGCGAAATTTCGAGCCTCGTGTCACTGTTTCTTATTGTGGAGCATTTCTGCCCGATCCGGATATGTTTGCCTTTTCGGGATACAGGTGGCACGGTTAGAAATTTTAGAGATGCTCTGACGAAACGTGGATGCAAGACACATAGGAACATGTATTATTGTCAGGGACTGCCCTTGGTCCAGAAGTTCAAAGGGATATCTATGATCTTCATATATCGTCCAAAAGTGTTGCCGGATATATTAGAGCTAACTTTGATGATCAAAAACTCGGTTGTGATCAGTATGAACCTCGTACACCAACATTTCGTCGAACCTTTTCATCGTCTGACCAGTTGTCGGACACTTTGAGTCCTTATCTCCTTTCACAGTTCCCAAACCGCTGTGCTATCAAATTTCACACCTAATACCCAACCGGTTCAGCAAGTCTACACATTTTTCTGAACTGTGCACTTTGAGCGTATCATGTTACGATGACACCCGTTCATCAGGTTCGACAGGTAGGTTATCTCTTCCTGTCGTTCAGACCCATCGAGCAGAATTTTCCGGTAATAATTTCTGATCCTAGGCTGTTTACGTTCGCATAATGCAGGGTTGTATCGGTGTCGGGGGTGGGTCAAGCGTTCGAGGAAGGGAGAGAGGAGACACAGAGAAGTAGCACCCTAGGAGAAACTGGAGGGAGTGGGAGAACAGCCAGGTACAGTTGCTACCGCCACCTCCACCTCCACCGACCACGGGTACCAACCGACCCAGCCCATACGTGGTGGGGACGAAGTGGAAGAAGGTGGGATACTCCGAGATGGTGGCCGTTGCTATTGCCGCGTCGAATTCGAAAGAACGCTGCTAAGAATGGAAATAAGAAAGTGACTTCTCTCCTCGATACCGCTCTTCCCCTTCTCGCGCCAAACTCTTCAGGTTCCCAACCGTTGGCTACACTTCGCGGCTACCGGAGTCCCTCTTTTCAGATGGTTGTCTCTCGAGGAGGAGGACATTGCGTGCTCGAGGCAGCCCACTCGCCTACAAAATGGTAGCTCCTGCAGGTTTGCGCTTTTCGACGACTGGGGTACGTTTTGCACCCCTGGTGAACGACGTAACCGGTTCACTTGGTAGCCAAAATTAAAAAATTTCCAAATTAGAAATATCATTGCCCTTTTATCAGGCACTTCCATCACTGATCCAAACCATTCTTCCCTCCCCAAACTTTTGCTCTGCCAATATCTTCCATCGATCGTCGAACAAATGACGAAGAATCTTGGTTCCACTCTTGCGAGAGTTCGAAGCCATAAATTAGATTCTTGAAACCACGAACCGGGCGCCATTAATAAAGGATGTCCTCCGCTTCGGCATCAGCGATCATCGAATCTTGTTCGCTCGACAAGTTGGAGAGGCTGCGGTCTGGCCTGATTTGGCCCGAAAGTTATTATCGTCTGTCGTCGTATCGACGTTGTACAGCGTGAGATTTACACTTGGGGCGTTATTCAATGTCGAGGATCCCGAGTAGGGAGCGGCTCTCGAGGGTGGCGGACCCCGGCCCCTCGCGAAACAAAACATATTGTCCGAATTTAATTGTGGACGGGGTGCATTAGATATTCATACGTTACATGTTCCACGACGCGTACAACAATATGGAGGCTACCCTGATGCGAGCACGGGGAGACAGCACGTGCTACGACCAACGAGGGGAAATAAATCTTCTACGCGATAAACACTGAGCGACGAGTCGAGCTAAAATTATTCGAAATTTCCTGGTTAAGTGTTTGCAAATGTCTCTTCGTGTTTTAGACACTTCTATGGTGTCGGATCCTTTGAATTATTATTAGATTTTGGATGTTTACGCAAGGTTCAAGTAAAGGTTCCGTCTTCTTCAGAAAATGAGAGAAATTATCAGATTAGCGAAGGGGGTGCCGAAACGTGGGCCACATACCCTCGCCACTTGGGAATAAACAAGAGGCGATCGATGAGCTAGGAGGGTGGAATCGAGTGTCTATAGAGAAAAAGGACGGTCTATAAATTCTTTTGTAATCGACGCCACTTTGTCCCGCCACCTTTTCACCGTTACGTGGAAATGATGAAATCGTTCGATTGTACTCTGTCAATCCAACCATATTGATCGATATCCCGACAAAATGTGTCTTGTACTCTATTTGAACCACGAAACTCAAACAACCCTATATGTATACAAAATTTTACTTCTGACTTAAATTTGTAGCTCGATCGCTCGGATAGAAATATAGAAAATTTATAGAAAAAGAATGAAGGAAAGTAAGAATATGGCACGTAGCACTTGAAACGTCTGAAGCATATTAGCAGATAGCCAGGTCGATGTTTCACGAAGCGTATCCTCCCCGTTTCGTTCCATCACCTGGCCACGTTGCATCGTGAAAGGTGGGAACAACCGTGTCATCCCGAGCCATTGTCTAGCAAGGATCCCGCAGTTTTGTGGCGATGAGTCGAGTCGGAGCGTAAACGCGAGCCTGCCGTTGGGACAAAAGGCGGCCACCAGCTTTTGCAGCAGGCAGCCTGATCTCCTTAAACGAACCAGCCAGGACAGAATACGAGGGGTGGCTGTTTAACGAAAATGAAAAGGAATTTTATTAGCCTCGGGTCGATTTAAGAGGCGAAACGAACAGGGGCCGAAAGAAGGTGTCATCACCACCCGCGGAACGATGCGGTTAGGTTAGATACGGGGTGCATTAGATATTCATACGTTACATGTTCCACGACGCGTACAACAATATGGAGGCTACCCTGATGCGAGCACGGGGAGACAGCACGTGCTACGACCAACGAGGGGAAATAAATCTTCTACGCGATAAACACTGAGCGACGAGTCGAGCTAAAATTATTCGAAATTTCCTGGTTAAGTGTTTGCAAATGTCTCTTCGTGTTTTAGACACTTCTATGGTGTCGGATCCTTTGAATTATTATTAGATTTTGGATGTTTACGCAAGGTTCAAGTAAAGGTTCCGTCTTCTTCAGAAAATGAGAGAAATTATCAGATTAGCGAAGGGGGTGCCGAAACGTGGGCCACATACCCTCGCCACTTGGGAATAAACAAGAGGCGATCGATGAGCTAGGAGGGTGGAATCGAGTGTCTATAGAGAAAAAGGACGGTCTATAAATTCTTTTGTAATCGACGCCACTTTGTCCCGCCACCTTTTCACCGTTACGTGGAAATGATGAAATCGTTCGATTGTACTCTGTCAATCCAACCATATTGATCGATATCCCGACAAAATGTGTCTTGTACTCTATTTGAACCACGAAACTCAAACAACCCTATATGTATACAAAATTTTACTTCTGACTTAAATTTGTAGCTCGATCGCTCGGATAGAAATATAGAAAATTTATAGAAAAAGAATGAAGGAAAGTAAGAATATGGCACGTAGCACTTGAAACGTCTGAAGCATATTAGCAGATAGCCAGGTCGATGTTTCACGAAGCGTATCCTCCCCGTTTCGTTCCATCACCTGGCCACGTTGCATCGT